ACATAAAAAGGCAAGGGGCGGAATTAAAACCACATTCTCAAGTTTACTTCAGGTTTACACAAGATCCCTGGTTTTGGTGTTTTCTTTGGCTGAGGGGAATCCGGTTTGAGATAAAATATACTGGTTCGATGGTTTGGTAATTGCTCTACATTTTTGGGTTGTATCCTGAGATAGAAAATCTTGATATGCTGCTTCATTTAGAAAATCCTCACAAGCACACAGTCGCACAAACACACACGGGTTAGGAGAAAAAAAAACACTCAAGGCAACAGGTCATCTGACACACAAGTATGAGCAGGAACTTGTTGCTTAGGGGCACGAGGACAGCTTAGCACTTTGCTCTCTGGGAACAGCATTGTTTCCAAGTGTTATGTTGTTTCCAAGGATCATTCTTCGATCTTTGTGTTAATATGTTTACGGGACTTTGCACTGTCTGGCATTAGAGATGGAAAGTAAAGAGCCTGTGCAGGAAAACAAAAGCAGGCACGGAGGGAGAAAATAGCTCCGTAAAGGTGATGAAGGAGACTTGGAGATAAGGGAGAGCATATGAGAATTGATAGGTGCAGGGCGTGCGAGGAGATGTAGCCTGCATTTTCTTGTTGCTGGTTACTCTGGAGGGAAGCAGGAAAGGGGAGAGAGTAATCCATTAGAAAGTCTGACACAAATATGTTTACTGAACCTTGAACGTTCTGGCATTAGAGGGATGGAAAATATGGCCAGGGACTCACTGAGGAGCCGAATGGGGGGAAAAAAAGGTTATGTCAAGCTCTAAAAAAAAGTAAGGGACACGGACTGAAAGTGGTGGACAGTGGCGGGAAAACCGTGCTTGGGATTTATCACCAGGCTAGAGTTTTCTATAAAACTTTTAAATCGATATTCCCTTAACCTAATTATGAAATTTGGCAAATATTATCTGCTTTTCCACTTGAGGCAAAAACAATATACTCCTATTTTTCCTTTTGGCAGTAAATATTACAATCTCATCAAGATATAAAGTAAGATATCATAGCTGTACTAATGCCATTTTAGAAAAATCATTGACATGTTTGTTTTATTTTTCAAGGTTTTGAGTGTCAGATACTCACCACCATTAGATTTCCAAAGCAGCCAATAACAGTTTGTAGCTTGCTCAACAAATGGAGTCTGGGTCAGATAGATTACAAAACGTATGTAGCTTCAAAAATTAAGCAGAAATAGCCCTTATACAGACAAAGACATCTTTTACTTTTGCAAGACTGCGCAGGAGGGATTGTGGTGTGGAGCTGCGGTCTCAAGGTCCCACCACGACACACGCTCAACCAATCACCATGAAGGAGACAGGGTATTTGTCTTAAACTGCAGCCAGGGTTCCAAATACAATGTGTAATTCTGTATTTACCAGTCCTGTAAACATTGCTAAGACTGTAGTGAATGTAAAGAGGTGAAAGAAAACATCAAGGGAGGGATGGACAAAGAAAAGGGGAATGTATGCAAGCGATGAAGAGGGGAGACGAAGAGGTTTGAATTTGCTGAGTGCGCTGTGTGAAGTTAACAGTGCCGCGGTGGTGAATGTATCACTGCCGTGCTATATCAGAAGACAGCAATGGAGATAGAGTCTGTCTCTTCCCCTCAATACATTTGAAGAAGTCTGTGAACGTTTTGGGAGGATTTGAAATGCTGTTGGTGTCTTAATATCATCTGGACTACTTCCTTTATCTGTCATTTTATTTTGGCAGATACATATGCAGCACTTTATGGAAAAAGGAGACACCGAAATCCACTGTTCAGATATTTCAGCGTGCTGCATGTGTAGTTTGCTCTGAAATTGCTTTAATATGTTCTGAAAGTCAGGCCAAGGGGATTTATATTGACCAAAAATGTGATAATAAATGGGCCGTAGTGCTTTTCCCACAGTGGTGAAGTTCATTTTATTCTGTGGGGTCCAACTTTTTGTGCAATAAGGCAGAACGAATATGGGTAAAGGTAAAACCAAAAAGGAAAGTGGTTACTGGTTACTGAACTTAGTTCCATGAAAGAGGTTCAGTTGATCAGTCTTGACTCAGTTTGTTTATTTGTAAGAGAAATACACTAAACCAGTTTCAGCATTTACAATAGTTAGTGTTGCCCTATACGATACATCTATCGCCCTGTGACTGATTGACATTTCTGCCCAGCAGTTTTCCTGACTCTATTTGTTTGCCGGCGTCCTGTATGCCAAAAGTATTTGTCCTGTTTGACTCACACAACTGTCAGAGTATCATCCTTATTAAATGACTCACAAAAGAATCTAACATTGACCTACTGTAGTTCTCCTCTGTCTCTCATTGACCAAACACGTTGTCACCGATGTTTAGACGATTGCGGCCTCATAGCACACGTGTGAGCCAAACATAGCACCTTGTTGTTTTGATGAAATGCTGATTGTGTTATTGTTGTGGTTTAAACAAACAAGATGATCGATTTGGCTGTGTGACCTCACGCTTACATAGGGGCCAAGTTTTAAAGCGGTTTATTTGTGAAACCCAGTATCACACAATTGTAGTTCTGTAGATCTTCAAATGCTGCAAGGTGCAAATATTTATACTTAAGTATGAAAATAGGCTGAAAACAGATGTATTGTCTTTGTGTCTGACTGTTATTGGACATTTCCTCCAACTTATTGCTTCGGTTTCTTGCTGCATGTCATTAATAATGACATAAATAGTCTTTAGTCTAAACTCATGATACTTTCAGCCATTAGTCATTTCTCTGTGACCCCTGGAGAAGGTGTAAGTGCAGTAAAGTGCTGCATGACTCACCTTACTTCTTTAGAATAAACTTTGTTTAGGTTTTTCCTCTGCTGCTCCATATAAAGCACTTGCGACAAAGAACGACAAGTAAATAACAGTAAGCTGACAGTGAATGAACATCCTGTCGGTACATGTACAATTTGTTTGCAAATCTTGCTTCATTAAGAAGAAGTCCGTGTGAACCCTTAATGGAGTTGGAGCAGGCTACATCTCATACAAATATTGGATATCGTAAATTCATCCAACATTTGTTTGCCTGCTCTCCGCTCTGTTTACATTATGTGCTAATGTTTCGCTGTTTATTAGAATCCACGTCACAGTCAGTGACTCTCCACCTCCAGCTCATCAATCAACCCCCAATTATCTTCTATTGAAGCAAAACGGACATTGAAAGAAATCCAATCATGAGAACTACAAAAAGAACAAAAAAAAGCAGTGGCCTGTTTCTGCTTTGTGTCGATCTCATCAGACTGTTAGTCAGACCCTCAGTAAAGCTCTCACTTTGTTTTGTTTTCATAGAAACGTGACATTAAACTGTTCAAATGCAAAGTAGGGTGATGAATAGTCACTGTGGCTAAAAAGTACACAAATTGAGACACAGCATTCGTGCTTATTGCTAATTAGCGAATGTTATCATGCTAACATAAGATGGTGGTAAATCATACCCACTTAACATGAGCATGTTAGCCGGCTAATGTGACATTTTGTTTCTGGATCCAGTTGGTTCCAACTTTGTTTTATGATATTGAACTTTAGTGGGAGAGATGGATGCACCATCTTCTGTTGGTTAGTTTAAATAGGAAATGTGTTCAGTAGATTTACCGATTGGGTGATGAAAAGTCATTGAGAAATTATTGACATATATTCTGTATATTTAATTCAACAAGAACTTTGTTGCTCTCATCTTTATGTTTATTCCTATCTTTTGCACACTTTCAGATTTTCACTTTATATGTCATAGTCATTTTTGTTTTTGTCATTCGTATAAAGTAGAATTCATTTCTCACTTTTCAGCTTTCAGAAAATAACAAAATATATCAAGATGTTTTAATTTGGTCCAGATGAATGCTTTTGCATGTGTGGGAGAAGCCATTGTTTCGTTTTTTCCACTATTGAGCTGTAAGTACAAGTTTTAAGGGTGGGGACCACTTTCTGATCTGAGTGAAAGTGAACGGTCTCAAACTTTTGCGACCCCCGGTGTCAGTATTGTGAGGACATCACGCGTTCAGCTCTATAAAGAGAAGTGACACAAGAGATGAGATACCATGAGTGTGTTTGGCATCAGGTGTTCAGTCTCCCATACACTTTCCTCCACTTCCCTTGTTATCATGTTCATAGACCCTTATTTAGCCTTTCTCACACAGCAGTTTCCACTATCTGTGTATGTTTTGATTTTCTAAATTACATCAGCCTGAGGGCACAATGATGGACGTGGATAAGAGCAAACTGTCTGTGTGTGTTAACACACTCGGACACAAACATGACACACGCTACAGTTATGCATATGGCTGTCTGTCATGAATGTTCCCTGCGGATAAAAATATCCGCGGCATCAAATCACACTCTCATAACTTCCTGCCGCATTTCATGACCGAAGGGGAGTGTAATTCATTTCCACTTTAGTGGGAGAGATGGAAAGTCGGTTCCATATATGATCCATGTCTTGTTCCCCATGGTAACATCACTAGTTCATAGTATAAAGCACTTTTGTACACCATCTTCTATTGGTTAGTTTAATTAGGAAATGTGTTTTATATTGTGGATTTACAAAACTTGAAGGTGGTTTCATTTTCCAACACAAGATGTAGTAAGACTTTACTTTTCTCAGAGTTTCTAGGAAAAAAAATTACAAAAATAGCATTTCTCAGTGTTTTAAATTTGAGAAAGACTCATAACAACTTAACTAGTGTTAGAGAGAGGCTACCAATTTTCTTGACCGTTGTCTTTCCATTTTTAGGACTTAATTTGCGGTACTAACGAAAGAAGCTGGTTTCATTTGTGACATGATTACCTGTTGTTACCAAGCAATTTTTACTTTGGTCTGTCATTGCTATTGTGAGGAAAATGACTGAAGAAATGAGAAATACAGACTGTTTTTTGAGACATTTTTTGTTTTATACATATTTAAAAGATACTGCTGCTAACGATGATGAAAAACTGTGAGGCTTAGAAATGACTAATTATTGTTCCTCTTTCTTTTTCAACCTTCCCTCTCTTTCTCTCCATTTCTAGATGCCAGGCCTTTTGTCCAGTCCTGTGTGTTTGACAGTCATCTGGTTTTTATCCTGGTCGTTGCATCCTAGTTGTGCTCAGATTTGGAATGATGAAGGTAAATCACACACATGCACAGCCATGCACACACACACACGTATATGTGCACACACTGTTAACAGCGTACAAATTCCTTTGTGTACTATGTTTGTTGTTCTTGGCTCATCTGGATTCAAAGTACTGATGGTATCTTCACTTTCTGCAGAAGAAAGGATGGAGAAAACAAACGTGGAATAAAACTGGATTCATGCAAAACCACAATCAGAGATCCTATTTCTTGATGAAATGCAATTTTAATTTGTGTATGTTTTTTTTTGTCTTTCTAATTTTGCTCTCAGCAAACAAGACATCTTGTGTTGAAGCTTTGTTTTACCCCCTTTCTTGGGTCTGTACTTCATTCAGTAATCGTCTTTCCCTTTCTACTCTCTATTTTCTCCTGTCTCTGTCTCTTTTACTCTTTGTTACTTCTTCTTTTACTCTTTGTTACTTCTTTCTAAAATTAGACAAATTAATCACTCCAGCAGTTCAAATACACTCCCTCAGCACTCAGAGTGAGACTGTCAGACGTTTCCCTTCCCATTAATTCTACCCTGCTGCAGCTCCATGGTTCTTTTTTCATTGTTTGGAAAGTACTAAGTTTCACCCAGCTTGCAATTTCTGTGCTGCCTGCCATCTGATTTCAATGTCAGGAGAAACTTGCAGCCTTCCTGTGTGCATTAGTGTGTGCGGGTATATGTACCTAAATGCATATGTGTGTGGGTTTTTTGCATGTGTGTGTGTATGACATGTGCAGGGGGGCCCTCTTGCCAAAGGCAGAATCAGATATGAGTGGAACGCTGCGGGTTTGGGGAATAATGTACTTCTCTGCCAATAAAACATGAATACACACATTCAGAGCAGCCAAGTCTTTGCACTGCAACAAGGCCCCAAGTTATACACACACTCACACAGAAACAGGCGAAGGGGGAGTATCTGTGTGTACTGTATGTGTTTGGTTAAAAGGAAAGAGAAAATCTGGTTAAAGAGAGATTGAATAGAAAGATTGCGATAGAGTAAAGATTGGGTGAACTTGATGATATTTAATAATGATTCATTCGATTTATATGGAAATTCTATCATCTTAGAGCTTTGATTTATTGTAGGTGTCTGCTTGAGGGTTTCTTTCTCTCTGCAGCAGTTTAGGGCTCAGTGATAAATCCTTTTGATTTCAAAATTTCTATTTTCAAAACTCAAAGGCTACAATTTCATATGTCACGTCTTTCATATAGACGTCAGGTCTAAGTGAAAGTCTCACTCAGCTAGCGGTTAGCTCAGTTATTAAGTGTAGAATACATTATACAAATACAAATTTTCTGCCCTACAATGAGGAAAGATTTTAACTGAAATTTCTGGTGCGCTCTTTTGGCTCCACTTCTCAACTTGAATAGCACAAAGAAGAGCACATACCTCTGCAAAGGCCCAACCTTTAATTAAATCAAGCTGCACTAAATGTCACACACTCATAGATATCAGTCCGAGAAGCCTGATTCGTTTATCAAGATCCATGAATTACTCTCTCAGAAATCAAGGACAATGTTAAAAAAACGCTTTATCTCGTAATGTTCACGAAAGTGAAAAGAAATTCTTGGATCTGTCTTCTTATCTGGATGTGCACAAAAACGTAATGGGTCCTTACTTGACCCATACAGTGTCCTTCCACCGAGTGCTATGGAAAGTTGTCTGGTGGTTTCTGCGTAATCCTTCCTCCAATCCAACCAACCAACCAACCAACAAACAAACTAACGGTGTCTTTTTGTCTTTCTAATGTCACACTGCTTCTTTAACAGCTGTCTCGAAAGCTCAAGTGCCCTCCAGTGTCTTTTCTCTGTGCATGGTACTCTTACACCCACACATACAAGCCCAACCACAACATAACTGTGGAGCACTTTACTGCTATATACTTCACAGCTGTTTCATTCAGGCTGTGCAGCCACCAAAAAAAGCAGTAGTGTGGGCAGAAAGGCCAGAAAAGCGAACTCAAGGTGTCAGCGTAAACAAGAAAAGGCCTGCAAGTCAAGTGTGTGTAAAATTGAGTTAAAGATTAACTTAGATGGTCCCTAAAGGGCACACGAGGTAAAACTAATATAAATATACTGATACAGCAAATTAAATAAAAACATCCATATGCTTCTTCTCCACCTACCTGGGCCTCTCAAGCCTCATGAGTCGTAGGTGATGACAGTTTCAAGACCCGGCAAAAGGTTTGAGGTCATCGCTTTGACACTTTGAATTTATAAAAAGAGAGTAGAGAAGATAAAGAGGGCTGTGTGTGAAAAATGAAGCGAGATATAACACAACCTCAGGACAGATAGTTTGTTACCAGGGCAGGGGAGGCCAGCAGGGAGTATGCATGCCTGAGGGATTGAGAATTAATGAAGGTGTGTTCGTGGCAGACTGGCACGTGATGTTTTTTCCACCCCACATCTACTGCTAAAGCCAGCTTTCATATAACGTAGCCAAGCCAAACATGCACGCACATACATCCCCATATGGCAGATAGTGTATCAACTTAGCAAATCACCACAAATATTTGTTTAAGTTTACACTGCACTTAGTGTTCCTTCAAATCTACACTCCCTTCCAGTTTAGTTAAATGGCATGTAATAGTTTTGCACCATCCATCTCATCATTTATTAATTTAAATAGTTGTTTTACTCACCAAACCCATTCCAATCACATTTTGTTTTATTCTTCATTTTTCTCCACCTTAACGGATAAACATTAATTGTATCTTGGATCTAACTTGTGATTTATCTGACATGAGATGATGAAATATGATGAGAGGTTGTGACAATGTTCTTTTTAAGAAGTAATTTTGTATTTATATTTATCACCTGGCTGTGAAACAATGACATTGCATTCACCCCAATTATATAGAGATGAAGACAGAAAATCCTGAGCAAATAAAACTGAAGCTATTTGAATGGCTAGATATAAGTGATTTAGGTGATTACTTCTTTAAGGCAGCTCCATAGGCAGGTGAGATATTTGTTCTAATTCAGCATTAACATGGTCAATTTGGAACAAGGAGGAGTGAACAAGATGCACTTTAGTTTGGGAAGTTAGGGCCGGGGTTTGGAGTCGGTAAAAACTTTACCAATGCCGCTCAAAAAATATTTACTGATGCATAGTCGTTTTATTGTAGTGGTAATAACAATAAACTTTCAGTACTACAAAAACAACCCTGCAGCAGCTTTGTACTGTGTGCCAAAGTCTCCTCAGGCCAACGTCTGGTGGCTTCCTCACCTTGTATGGTCATGTTATTGTAACACTGCGGCGCCTACTGTAAATAATAAGTGCTTGATTCACATTAATACAGACGGATACACGACATGTCATATTGTGCAGTGTGCAGATACTGTTAGCCAGACGACATGTGCTTTAATATTTTATGTGGTGTGTGTGTTGGCAGTGTCAGGCGTGCAGTACGGGCACTTGGAGTCCAATGTGACACTGGCATGCCGGACGTCACAAATCAGGTAAGGACTGAAAACTTTTGCCTGTGGGCTTTGATGGTGTTTTTACTCTTATGACAAACAAACTATAAAATATTATAATTCATATATTAACATATTGACATAACAGTCAGTTGTTTTGTTCGCTTTTGCCTTAAAAACATTTTTTTTACTGGGACACATTCAGCATTAAAGTTGACGTAACATCAGTGTTTACACCTACAGAAGCAGAATTCAGTGCAGCCACAACACAACATCGCTTTTTGCGATAGCGACACAACTTACTTAACTAATCTGGTATATTAAAATGTTTTCCTGGAAGAAACTCTTGATATTGAATGAAATTTTCTAGGTCCGATGGTTTTTAGATGAAGCACAATAACAGGTCTTCTGTTGTTCTGCACAGGACGCCTGTGGTGTGGCATCTCAACCACAGCTCAGCATTGCCATGGCACAAAGTGACATCGGATGGCACCTTGGTCCTGCTGCACGTCGACCACTCGGCACAGGGCATCTACAGCTGCTACGATAACCACGGGCTGCTCCTTCACTCTGTCAAACTCAGGCTTGGCCGTAAGTTTTGTTGAGACTGCACCATCAGCAGGATTGGGTCGTCAATGGGCATCAGACATGATACCATTCTATCTTGTGTTGTGGATTCTCTTCGCAGTCCCTCACAGTTCATTTTATTTCCTTGGATAATTCAGCATTAAAGAAGTTTCCATTTCTTGGCATTTTTCTCTTTTTCTCCCCATTTTATCAATGAGTGTCCATTTTAATTCATTCATTTATTGTGGCTATAAGACGACATCTTGTTGCCACAGTGATAATCAGGACAAAGTCACAGGTCCCCTCCACTTCCTGCAAATGTTTAAAACGGGAAGTGGCTCCCTGAGTGGACTTCCTTTTGGGGGACAGGGATTTTTCCATGCGACTTGCAAAGCTTCTTCTAAAATAGTTTGTTTTGATATAAAAGAGACAAGAGGACACACAGAGAAACTTAAAAATGTCACATCTTAAGGGGCTCTAAAATATCTACTCCTGCCCCACGGTCCTGAAAGTGAATGCTGTCTGACTTCCATTTCCCAGATTCCCCCGGGCTGCTGAGTGTTTCCTGTCAAGTGCCCAATCACACACACGTCCGCTGCTCCTGGGTGGACTCGGTTAAGACCTTCCTGCCAGCCCAGTACAATGCCTCCTTCAGGTAAGAGCTGCTTATTGCAACTGAAACACCAACGTCCAAGGTCACATACACAATCAGATACGCAGATGATAAATATAGCACACGCCCCACAGAGTGTGTGAGTCTCCCCTTCTGTTTCCTGTCTAACAGTGCTTTCCATAAACACACTTAAACAACTTTAACACAACAGAATAACTGATCAACGTGTTTTGTCTTGTTGTCCAGGGGCACTGGTCATGAGTGGAGGTCATGTGTCGTGGATGTCGCCCGCAAGCATTGTAATGTAGATGACCCCGCCTTCTGGCAGACCATTCACACTCTTAGAATCACAGAGACCAACGCCCTGGGGTCTAAGACGACATATGCCCGCTTTAAGTTACACGAGCTATGTAAGATCATGTGAAACACGCATGCACACACACACACACACACACACACACACACACACACACACACGTGTGAATGGGATGAATAGAACTTATTTTCTTGTTCTTTCTGTCACATTGATATCACTGATGTATGTCTGTGAAGCACGGTGTTGATTTTCCACCAAAGGTTGATCATGTTACAGTTTTATCTTGTTTTCATATTCAGCGCTGCTAAAACTGGCTGCTGCGTTACTCAAAACCAGCTATTGTGATTGGCTTCCAGTTCTTTTGGCTCTGTCCTCACTATTATTATTATTTTCAGTTGTAACTTTACACTTATTTAAAAAAGCTTGTGAAAACAGCGCAACTTCAGAAGGACGTCTTTTAATACTTCAATAGCTCCTCCATTGTCTCTTCTTCTTCTTTAGACTAAAAGCAATAGACACATTTGTTTTGTTAAAAACAGGTGGTTAATATTGTTTTTCTTTTAATTCAAGTAACTGTGAAACACATGAATAAATAAAGATATAACAGTCTGTGGAACAAGATTAATGAGATGGATAATTAATGAGTAGGTCTTTTTCAATTAAGTCTGCAACTTTCTCCCCTCTGGTTCTCATCCCGTCTTTTAAATAACATGCCAACCCAATAGAAATTAGTTTTCTTTCTATTCCTCTCTCCTCACAGTGAAACCAGACCCTCCAGAGACTGCGTCAGTGAAGGAACTAGAAGGTTTTCCAAAGAGGCTGATCGTCTCCTGGAATTTTCCCTCCTCCTGGCCGGAGGAGGATGCATTTCCCCTCATGTTTCACATCAGATACAGACCACTGGGCTCCTTGTACTGGTCGGAGGTGAGTTAGCAAGGCCAGAAGGTTTCATCTCAGTGTTAAATCAGAGCATCAAGCTTGAGATGGATTGTGGGAAAGAAAACACAACTCGAAAAACAACGTTATTATTATTGTAACTCAACTCTAAAATATTAACATAACTAAAAATATGAGTCATAATCTAGAAGTGAGGGAAAGTGACTTAACCACAAATCATGGGTCATCATCATAATAAATGGCTGTTTATGTTATATAATAAAAGGGTAAACCAAATTCATTGAGTGGAGGAAATCAAACACGTGTCAGATGTTCACACGCTTCATTTCAGTCTTCTTTTGTTTACCAATAAGAACAATAATAAAGCACCAATAATAATGTTGACGATACAGATCTCATTCATTGAATGCCGCTGTCACAACCTCAGCCTTTCTTTCTTTCAACTGCTACTTCCTTGTGCCGTCTCTGTCTCCATGGATCAGATCTACTCTGAGGTGAGTCCAGTTGTGATATTAGACGCCCTGGCTGGCCACCTCCACCAGGTGCAGATTCGAGCCCGCGATGAGGTGAACTCAGAGAGCCAGTGGAGTGAATGGTGTCCCCTGCTTCTCATCCGGCCCTGGGAAGGTCAGCAATTCACAAATACCCTGATTTCTAAATGATTAAGTTAATTAAAGAGAGATACCAGGAAAGCACATGGAGAGGAGGATTTATCATGACTATCAAAACAAAAGATATGTGTCTAATCAGATCTGTGCTTGTTTGTTTGTACTACAGCCTACACCACGCCTGACCCCACAGAAGAGCTCCCACCAGATGACATATTACAAGACTATAACTTTCCCTTCGACAGAAAGCTTGAGACCTCGACTACAAAAAATCCCAGTAAGATTCCTTTTGTTACTTGAGTTGTGATTTTATTCAGGACAAACACTGGAGCTAATGTCCTGCTAGAGCTGAACAAATAATTACAACACATATATGTGTATATAGTATATATACTATAAATGTTGTAATACAACAAAGTTAAAAGCAAAGTATATCCTCAGAGAAGGTTTTAGCGTGACGAGTTGAATCACGCAATTTATTTTTAATTAAATAGCAGCACGAGTGTTTTGCAACCGGATTTCTTTGTCAGAAGAAGCAGCGTCATCAGTGCATGCAGCAAAAATCTCTAGGAAGATGTTTTTTACTGTTGTTATGGTCAGATAGTACAGTGTCTTCACCACCAAATGACTCCTAATTGCAGTAAATTGTACCTGCAGGGTGTATAAGTGTGTTTTTTACAGTGAGTGCCCTGGGTGAAATGTTAAGTACGTAGCAGCTCACAAACATGTTCATGTGGTAAACACACACACACACACACACACACAGTTTGGGCAGTGGAGTAAAAAGCTGCTGTCACATTTCTTTAAGCTGGTCTTCTGTGAACCAGATGTCATCTTCTATTTTTGCTGTCATTTGCAGATGGGCTCATAAATGTCTGTTTTTGTTTTATAATCTTCTAAATACCAAAATAACTGTTTTTGCACATTGTGTTGTGTTTTTAATGTTTGTCTGTGTTGTTGCTTTGTTTTACTGTTCAGAACAATGTTTTGTTGTTTGTATGTGTGTGCGAGCAAGTTGTTTACTCCCTGCAGTGCGATAAATAGATGTTTCTGTGAAAGCTATAATGGTGGATTTAAAATTAACTTCCCCCCAGAGAGTAATTCAATCTGAGAACACACACATACATTTTTTTCTTTCTTTCTTTCTTTTTGTCTCTGAAAAACATGGGATGAAAGTGTGTGAACATTTAACCGTGTCTTCCTCTCTCGTCTATATTTGCTTCTTCATTTCACCACACTTTCACGTCTCCGTCTTCAAATTATCTGTTCATCTCCGTCCCGCTCGTGTCGTTGACCTCCCTCGTTGTGTTCTTCCTCCTTGTTCCATTCCAGATCCTGTAATTGATGGTGAAGGTAATTTGGTGATTTTGCTGGTTTTGTTCTCCGTGGTCATCCTCATCACCGTCCCCTCCCTCTTCTATGTCATGTGGTAAGAGACTAAGAGACACACACACACACACACACACACACACACACACACACACACACACACAAACACACACACAAAAGCTGCAGTTGTGTGGTCAGTCTGTTTCTTGGATTTAATTTTTTAGGCACATTTTTTTTTCACTTTACTTTTTTATATTTCCAGGGTGAGGCAGAGGCGGCGTGATCACGTGACCAAACAGGAACTCAACTCGATGGTCAAGATGAAGTCCATGCCAATCTAATGTAAGACACACACACACACACACTGACACACACATTTCAAGTCATTTTTTACACACCTTCTTTGTTTGTTTGTTTGTTTGTTAGCATGATTTCAATAAAGCTACTCAACCAATTTCTATAAAGTTTTGTGGGGGAATGAGGAATGAGTCAGGGAAGAATCCATTACATTCTGGTCTGGATCTGAATCAGGGGGCAGATTGGGACATTTCTGAATGACCAATGCATTTTGTGAAATTTGGTGCAGATTCACATAAAAGTCTGGTTCCAGTGAATTTAAATGTGGTTTCATAAGAGTTCTGCTCAGCCTTGGCAGAGGAATGTGCTCTACTGAGTGCCATTCTAGTTCCACATTTGTTTCATTGCGCAGATGTTGTGAATACGTTCTCGCTGAAAGCTGCATGTGGTTGTTTGTGGAGATAGTTTTAGATCTCTTGAGGGGTGTGGTGAAGCAAATTAAGATCCCAATTAAGTGGAGCTTCTTTCAGATTTATATGACTAACCACAAAATGCTCTAAAATGGGAGCAAAGCCAGTGAGAAAAAGTTCAGCGATCCTCTGCCGAGAGTCAAAACTGAGATGGTTCAAAGTGCTGCTATAAACAACATTCTGACAAGTCTTCAGATATCCAGCCAACTTGTGATTATAAGTCTAACACACAACACACACACACACACACACACACACACACACACACACACACACACACACACAGATTATAACCCTGTAAATATGCCTTCACATGTCTCATCCTGCTCTGTTATTTAAATATGTGCTCTCAAGACACTGCTAAATATACATGTATTTTAAATTAGCTTTTTTCTCTTGCACTCTCCTCTCCCTCCTAACTTTGATTCCTCTCGTCTCCTCTCGTCCTCTAGGTTGATGTCAAGTATCCTCTCATCATCAGCCCGTTCTAGGGCTCCTCCCAACATGAACCACAATTCATCAGAGTCCATCCATGATCCAGGACAACAGGGACAAACCCATACCGGGAACTGCAGAGCAGGTTAAAAACTTGCCCCAGTGTATAAACGCTGACTGAAGGGTGGTTTGTTGCATAAATCACACGTGCAGGATTTTCCTGGACACATTCAATGCTTACACCTGACTGCACTACCCAGAATGCATCAGCAGACTCCCTTCTACTGTCCACGGGGACACAGAAAACAGACCTTGCTCTGTTTCTTCACTTCAGCAGCTTCACCGCCTCCACAGACTGTCGGAGCGACGCTGCACCAGGACATTTGAGTTCACTCACAACCGATGCTGCTTCAGGTGGACTGACTCCTCGACCCGTGCGGAGAGGGGGAGACTATTTTTAACCTTTGGAACTTTAGGTAACAAATCATGACAGGAAGTGCAGCTGCCAAACAGGAGAACAGAAGATGTTTTTTCTTTGTGGGACAACTTGTTCTTTTTTCCCACCCAGAACTCCTCACTTTCTTTCTGTTTTCGTGACATTCACATTAATGTGTGTCCGTTACTACACCGACCGACTCAACGCTGTGAAGGAAGCTTAACTTCTGCCAGTCTCTGTGTGCATCTAATGCCAAAAGCAGCAACTAAGGGCATTATAGTTTCAGCTGAAGGAGCAGGAGACGACCTGTTCCCTGCTCCTTACCTGAGGGGGGGGGGTTAAAGTCCAGGGTGGGTGGCCCGGGTTATTTAGACTATATTTCATTTATGACAAATGATTTTATATGTTGCATGATGTGCTTGTTTTAATTGTCTGATGTCTTTAGTACGTGTCACTTTGTTTTGTTTTACCTCTTTTCCCATCCATCCACTGTTCCTGAGTGTGTGTGAAGAAAAGACGCACATGAACAGAAAGAGATTAGAGAAGAGATACAGGCCTGTCACAGACCACCAGCATTACTTCAATAGTTAGAACATTAGAATATAGATATTCAGCTAATACTTCTCTCTAGACTGCAAAGAAACAATTCCCTCTTTCTTTGGAAATGGTTTAATGTCGTTTTTTCTTTAAGAGATTAAACGGCCTCTGCCAATTTAAATTTAGTCAAATTTAAACCAATTTCTTTAACGATATAAATAATCAGCACTTAAACAAAAGAGTAAAAAGTCAAAGCAAATTATAATTCTGCAAGAGGACAACTTCAAATTACTTGTTTTGTTAAATTCATAGATATTAAGTTTTTAAAGAAAAACTAAATCTTTGGTTAATGAGCCATTTTATTACTCAGAGAAAAAGTATGGCAACAATATCATTTACTGCTCAGAGCTTTTTCAGAAGAGTCCATAAAGTTTGTTCTCTATGTTGAGATTTCAAAGCAGTTGCTTGATGATAAAAATTTAAAAAAGATTTAAAATTAATCAATAAATGTTATTAGTGCGATGCACCTGATGTGAGCTAACATCACTGAGCTGCTGCAACATGGAGACAGACCATGAAATGGTTTGTGGACAGTTACTATGGAAACAATTAGTAGTTAATTACACAGCAGGGGGCTCACAGGCAGATTATAGGGCTGGATGTTGATGGGGACGTTTGCTGAGGTGATTCCTCGCATGTTTTAGGGTTATGGGTGAAGTTTAGGATGAAATGAAAAAGTGGGGCATTGACACAGAATCGATGAGAATGAACAGATGCAGTTAGAGAAGAGCTGGTTTTTACCTGCGGCAGAGTGACGTGGCAAAGAACAGCTCCATCTCCACGACTCAACACAACACTGAACTGTCAAGCTTCCACTTTGCTCAGTCGTCACACGGCAGAAGCGTTAATGCAGCTGAATCTGAGCACGTTCGTTGGTGGGTGCGTGCACGAGACGAGACGATGATTGACAAGAGCGACCCTCGCTCACTGGACTCGTGTCTCTCGACCCTCCAGCTCAGGAAACGGTGAAGCCTCGTCCATCTTTACTTACAGTCAGTTCAGTGTGTTTGTTCTGTCTGCACCCACAAACCTTGCGTCCTGGCTGACTGAGCCACAGACGGAAGTGAGAGTCTGTGCTGATAAAACATTTCTTTCCTCCTTTTGTTTCTGTCGGTTCCGGCTGTTCTACATTCTGTTGATCCAGAGCTGTGTAGTTATCAACTCAGTTGATCGATTGACTGTAGCTTCAGAAACACAAGGTGCTGTATGTTCTCTCAAGCTAGCTTGACATATTATGCATGAATCCAGTTGAAGCTTTTGTTGTATATTATTGTATATCACACTCTAAAAAAGTACATATGTATGTTATAAGTGATGTTTATATGTAGAGAAAAAAACGGGATAGTTTCACACACATGGTTTAACTCAGTCGGTAAATTAGCAGTTGATACCAGATTTACAGTTTATTATATTCAAGATTGGGGAGAACGAGGTTCGTGATCTGTTCAGTATTTTTTGCACAAGCCTGTTCACAAACAAACAAACAAACAAGCTAGCTGCAAAAACCTAATTTGTCGAGATAAAAAGATTTAAACAATCTTGGATCTGCGCCAAAATTGAAGGACTTCTTTCTTTAATGGAAATCTGTTCAGAAGTTTTTGAGCAATCCTGTTCACGAACAAACGGAAAAAATAACTTAAATACGGAAGTAAAAAAAAAAGTTTCTGGATCTGATCCACTCCACTTTAAAAAAAACTTTTTAAAAGGCCTCGGAAAATTGGTTTGGTAGTTTTTGCGTAATCCTGCTAACAACAACAACAACACCGACACAGGTGGAAACAAAACCTCTTCTGCGTAGTTATTAACAATTCTGACTTCATCGTGTTCTGCGTTTCTGTAGAATCAGTAATTTCTGTGACATTTCAATGCAAATTGTTAAAATGACAAAAACATCGACTGACTGAAAATAATCCATGTCTGCAGAAACTTCCCACTATTGTGTGTTTGTGTCTTTTCTCCCCAGTTATATGAAGCTGTTGTTACTGTACATTTACTGTATGGACAATGTGTTTACTGAATTCATCTTCGTCCAACGTGCGTTTCTGTGTTCACTGTTCAGTGTCGTTCACGTCTTTGTTTTCAGATGAACCGCAAATTGATCTTTAGTTTTTCCTGAAATATTCTGAGCTCCTGTCTCAACACTATCACAGAAAGCAAAACCGTTTAATTTTATCATTTTACTTTGTAGATTTAGGTTAGATGGGTGTGAGCTTGAAAAGGATTAATTATTATCATGGATTTATCGTAGCCGGCGTGAAATTCAAACAAATGTAATGCTGCAAAAATCTGTGGTCAACAAAAGCTAAAATTCAAAATTGATTTGAAAAATAGCAATTCACTGAATATAATACTGTATTTTTAACTATAACTAAAAAAAACCCTGAAAAATTCAGATTCTTTGGTTCCAGAATATAATTTTTTACAGTTTGAACGAGAATTCTCCCCAAAAGATTTTTATGATAAAAAAAATATTTTTTAAAGTCAGATAATATCGATCCATCACATTGAGTGTTACGTGTGTGATGTTTAGTGTCTGAGCGTTTTCCACCCAAGTTATTTTTCTTCATTAGTTTCAGTGGTGTTTTCTGTTTTTGTGGAAGCACTTGTGGTTTTTCTCCGTCTTCTCCGTGATCCTCTGCAGTATGTGACAGCAGATGGAGCCTCTGCTGGTTTTAGTTCTTACGACTCAAATTTCACTCAGGCGTCCATTCTCAGATGTACATAGTCTTTTTTTTTTTTTTTTTGCTTTTGTGTGTACGACAGATTTCACTATAAGCTGTTTTTTTTTCTTCCTGTCTTTGTACGTTTCTGTGAAATAAAGACTATTTTATCACAACTTGTAACTTCTGGACTTTATTCTTGTATCTGATGCATCTTTTCTTTCCTGCGTCTTCTTCTGTCTGTCCCATCGGCTCTAATGTCAACTGTCTGGTGTCCAAAACAATTTTAAACTGTAGCCTTGAACAAATGAGCCATTGATGGAGACGGTCCGTCGTCTCTTTGTCACATCGTTGGGATCCTTTGAGCTCGCGGTTGAAGAATTGACCACATTTCGCCTGAAGCACGTCGCTTCTTGTAGCAGCCTGTTCGTGGAGAGTTTCCATTTTCTGACTGTGACGGTGTCTGATGAATCCCAAATGCTCAAGCTGCCTTTTGTTGTCTTTGTGAAAGAGGCCTTTAAGATGAACAACTGATTTGAGATTGCTCTGGCATTCAGGCTCCACTTCCCTTATTGCAAACATGTTGTCATGCAGGATTCAGCTAATGAAGTCCAGGGTCCTCAGATGTTCTCTTGGCCGTCGTCGATGTCAGGTGGACGACTTCTGTTTCTCTGTAAACGAGGAAATCTTCGGCTCCTTCTTTTCTGGATAACAGTCGATGTACAACAATCGTTTGTCTGGTGGAGAAAACATCCAGACTCACAGAAGCAAAGTGTGGACAGTAATTGCGGACATTCAGTTTCTGTACTTTTACATTTTTTGTGTATATTTTCAGGTGCTTTTAAATTTTACCTGAAGTTTTTCTTATTTTTCAAATATCTGCACTTTCTCCTCCACTACATTTTTCCAAAGCATTACAGAGTCCTTTGACAGGTAACTTTGAATTTAAACATTTGGTTTTTGTTCTATTTTCTGCCAATAACTGAGGTGAAATTTAACGTCTATAACCATGTGACACATGCATTAACACAAACCCACAGGATAAATACATGAGAGATTTTATTGAGATAAAAAGAATAATGCATGAAATCTTCCAACTTTTCATATTTTCTCAAGATGAAAAAGAAAACTGGAAAAAAACACAAATAAATAACATAAAATGTGCAAAATTCACAAAATATTGCATCGATGAAGGTCACGTTGTAAAACAAGCAGCAGTAAAAGTAGCTTAAATAAATACTTGAAGTAATTAAGTTATTCATTTCTGCCTTGGACTGAGTTTGCATAACTCCACTGTAACACAATAATTAAAATTAGTTGGAACATAATTTAAATAAAGATTAAAGTGCAATGAAATAAGAAAAGAAAACCTATAAAGTACTCAAACGATAAAACCTATAAATAAAGATTCTTAAATTAATCTCATGTACCGTTTCTATCTCATCTGAAGACTCGTTCGACGCAAACTCCACAGAGAGAAAATAGATTGTTATCAAAAGTCAAACTAATCGAGAATCACTACAGCTCACTGCCGCCACCTAGCGAACGAAAAGCACCACTACAACAGCTTCACGAGAAAAAAAAAAATCTGATGGAAATTTAAAAATTGTTTCGGCTCAGATTTTAAAAGTTTTCAACTTGAACTACTGTTGAAAAAAGTTTTTTCCGTTTCATAATATAATCATGTACATTCAAATAGTACAAGCCTCTTAAACCCATTAAATACATTTGATTACAACATATTCATATTATTGTGTACTAATTAAAAAGCAGTATCAACAATACTGTTTAAGAATGTGTGATGAGTCTACATCTAAAACAGTGTCATGATTTCCGCCGTGTCTCAGTGATTTATAATATTCATGAACGACATCCCTCACCACTAAAAAGCCAATTAAGAATTCCAACATGTCGACTCTACTGAACAGTATCATTGAAGTACAGTAGCATAATAAGAAAGTAGCAATAGGTCACATACAGCAAGTTAACATGTCATATGTAGATATTACTTGTACTGAACACACTATGGTAAAAGTTACCCCCTTGAATGTTATAATTACACAAGAACCTGCCTAATGGAACTTTCAATTATCTTAAGAGAAACCGCACAGCCTCCGAAATAAGATTTAAAAATAGAAAATCATTCGTCAGACTTTGCTTTTGTTGCAACAACGGAGCCAAATCTGTGAAAACACATACCGATGATTGAGCTTCCTGTTTAAAACTGGACAAAGAATTTTTTTTTTTTTTTACAACAGTAAGAACCAAGAAAAATAATTGTCAGAAAAAGAATGTACAGCATCTTCAACATCATCTGTTAGAAGTGGAAGAACTCTCCCTCCTCTCTCTTGGAATGAGGATGTTTCCAGCTAAATCAAACAAACTTCATAAACAAAGACGAACCACCAGCTCAAGAAACTCCACAATCATCGTCCGTCTGAGAGGCTCAAAGGTTTGGCACCGAAAACAGCTGCTGCAACTCAGACGTGCAGAAACGCTCCTGTTAAAGCTCGAGTGGAGACAAAGTGAACGTCAAAGATTGTTGTTGTGTGTTGGTTTATAAATGTACTTTTAAAGTATAATGAATTTCAGAACCACGAAGAAGTTTAAAAGCACAGTGGAGTAAATGTGAGGGTGAGAGTGACACTGCTGACCACGTGCCGGAGTGGAGCAGCCTCTGGTTGACCTTTGGTTGACTTTTCCTAGAGTAAGGACGAGTGCGGCTCGTGGTAGTTAAGGTGATTAAGAGTTCAAGGGCACAAGACATGATGTGAACATCTGTAAGTTCAGCGGACGTCAAGACTCAAAACCCTCATCTGTGTTTGTGACGTTGAAGAAGTCTCTGCTGAACGACGAGTCAAAGCTTTTAAAGGTCAGAGACAGTAACTGAAGAGCAGCAGCTCTCTGTAGGTTTCTACTGGATTTCCATGTTTCCGAGAAAAGAGAAAAATGCGCTTGGCACTTGACTTTGAAAAGCGAATCCGTTCCAATCTTATTTTATCTCATAGCAACCGTTTCTTCATCCAACAAATAAATCAGAAAAAGATTGATTTCCTCTTCACCTAAGCTGAGAAGTGTCTTGTCCTTCTGGCAAAATCTTTTAAAATACAATTTCCACTAAACCATTAAAGTCATGAACATATCCTCCAGTTATTTCAAGTATGTAAAAGTTGTTTCTCACATTTGTATCCACATCAGACCTCTAAACGTCAATGGCCACCCCGTGTTTGGTGGAGATCACATCCCTGGTTCCCGTCAGATACATGAGCACTGAGCACAGGTGAGGGAGCGTCGCCGTGGTGCTGATGTACAGCCAGTAGGGGATCACTGCCGTGTGGCCGAAGGGGCACATCCACAACCCGTGGCGCACAGCATCCCGGACGTGGTGAGTCGCCATGGAGATGAAAATCATCCACGGCAGGGAGCACCAAGCGTCTTTGAGGCGTCCGATCCACATGAGGAAGCGGAGGGAGAGACAGAGCACGGGGATGAGAGAGGAGCAGTGGAGCGGAGGACGCTGTGGGAGAGACACGGCAGCCTTGAAGGAAAGAGGGGGAAGGAATGAGCCGTAAATACTTTGGTACAAAGAAATCAATCCACAAATCTACAAATATAAATACTTCAAACTGCTTATTGGAAGAGCTCAGAATAAAAGTAAGAAACTAATCATGATCACACACACACAGTTTAATTAGATATATGAGAACCTCATTAAAAGGTGCAGGTCTTACCTTGAGTGACAGGGATCCAGCCATGTAGAAGTGGTCCAGGTCTATGATTGATGCCAGCAGACCGGCCAGCAGCACCTCGTACAGATCGCTCTTTTTCCTCAGTCCAATAACAACCGCCCACGACCACAGCCCCACCAACCCGTGTGTGGCGTTGTCCAAGGCAGCGCGGAGCCACAGGTGGTTCTGGATGACCGACATTTGGAGGGCGTGGTCCGCCACCACGCAGAACATCCCGAGGCCCGCGGATGCCAGCAGGGAGGCGGAGCTGAAAGTCTGTAGGAGGGCCTGAGCTTTCTCAGTCTCCACAGCCAGGCTGAGTGGTACAGGAGCACCTTCGCCCCTGAGGCTCAGACCCAACAGCGGGGATGAGGAGGGGGAGGAATCGAGCTTGGAGTAGAATCCTTGCATGCTGACGGACGGCAGTGGGGGCCAATCGCCACTGAAGGTCAAAAAGATTCAGGTAGACTGGAGAAGGGAGGAGAGAGAGGGATTAATGAGGGCGTCACCCTCTTTCCTCGGTCCTGCACACTCACAAAATTGAAAATAAGTTGTTAAAGTTCCCGTCACTTCTGCTGTGAGGCCAAGATCAGTGAGGCCGTCACTGAGAATCACTGTTTCACTCTCACCAGAATTTTATGTACTCGAAATACCAAGTGGGAGTACAGAAGTAAATTAAGACATAGAAGTACATAAACTGAGACACAGCAATAGCTTCCAGAGAGGTTGGACTACTGCTGCAGCAGGAGGGCAGCAAGTTACACCATCAATGAAAGGAGGCATTTTTACATCACTTCTGAGATGAGAGGAAATATATCACTTCCAAGTTAGTTTCATTCTTATCGATTTGTCTCCGCTGAATTAAGATAAATGGAAGACGGGATATAAACTGTGTGGACTTGTCTCTGTTTTGTTGTATAAATGATTATTTCTGGACATGTTCCTGAGTGAACGTTTTATAAAAGCTGCTGATCACAATTATAAAAAAAGAAATCATTTGTATTACCAATAAATACAGCTCCTTATGACACAGCACATTATCTCATATTAACTGATGTGACTCTGCTTCATCAAGGATAGACGGATAGATGCGTATTTATAGAAAGATAGATAG